CTTGGTAGTTTTGAGTACTAAGAGATATCGCAGCAAATTATGGAACTCAAAGATGGGAGGGGGAATATCGATATTGAGGAGGGGAGGAGGAATTGATGTAAGAGACAATGGCATGGTACAACAATTTGGAAGAGTTATAAATTTGGGACATATTTTGACTCCACCTCCTACGCAGTAGCTTTGTATTGTTTTTTTCTACAAGAAAAAATTATACCCAGAACTTGTTGAAAACAGAAAACTATGTTCTCTTTTGGTTTCCTAAGGCAGAAAGAAATTTTCTCTTGTGTCTTTGGTACTCAGACAACTCACTCAGACAACTCAAGAGTTAGCCTGGACTCTTCTGAAATACAACTTGACAAGTCCACTATTAGCACTTTTTTCCTGGCTTTGTGAGCAGATATAAGAACTCGATTTGGAAATGGAGTTCATGAATATTCCACCTTTACCTTGGAGTGGAATGTCTGCCCAGGCCCACTCCAGTGTGAGGCCAGAAAAACGCTTTTGTACAAGTGGGAACGCAGCACAGACCTTCCCTGGGTCTCTCTTTCGTTCCGGAGAAAAAACCCTTGGAATAAGAACCCGAGAACCATGGGGCCAAATTGTGTTGGCTCTCTCAGAAAATACATTCTGTTCTGTAAGCATATCAAAATCCAGCTAATCGCAATAGTGCTATCTGAATAACTAGTGAGGTATAACATGCACGTGGGATCCACACGGGATGGAGCCCTCGAACAGGAATGTTAACAGACTAGGTAATGACCAGAGGCAGCATGGCAGACAGGAAGAAACATTGACTTGGGTTGGAATAGTCATCGATTGGAACTCCACCCCTCTCCTTAATGGCACATGACCCCGAGCCAAGCACATAGCCTTTCTGAGCCTCCATTTTCTCACCTGTAAATGATTATGATCATATTCCTTTGAGTTTTGTTGGTGGTGGTTGCTGTCAAGTAGATTGTGACATACAACAACCCCGTGTGTTCCAAGCAGAATTGCTCCAGAGGGTTTCTAAAGACCTGACCTTTCAGAAGCAGATCACAAGGCCTGTCTTTCAAGGTGCCTCTGTGTGGGTTTGAACTGCCAATTTCTTAGTTTGTAGTTAAGCACTGAACCTTTTACACTACCAAGGGACCTATTGAAAGATTTTTAGTAAGATTTAAAAGCAATAACATATTTAAAGTCTGTGCCATTGCCATCGAATTGATTCTGATTCATAGCAACACTATATGATAGAGAACGGCCCTATAGGGCTTCCTAGACTATACTATTTACTGGAAGGAGCCATAGGTTTAAAGGTCAGCAGTTCAAAGGTCAGAGAGATGAGGCTGTCTGCTTCCATAAAGATTTATCGTTTGGGAAGCCTTATATAAGGTCAAGATGAGTCAGAAGTGCTAAAAGGACAAACCTATCTCGATTGGAAGAAGTAAAGCCAGAGTGCTCCTTAGAGGCAAGGATGGCAAGACGTTGTCTTATGGGCTTTGGGCATGTTGTCAGGAGAGACCAGCCCCTGAAGAAAGACATCATGTCTGATCAAGTGGAGGGGCAGCAAAGGCCCTGGACAAGAGGGATGGACACAATGCTGCATCAATGGCTTCTGACCTGGGAACAATTGTAAGCTGGCACAAGAACATGCTGTGTTGTGCACAGGGTCGCTATGGGTCGGACGCAACTCGGTGGCACCTGACAACAACAACAACACGTGTCAGAATCAACTCGTTGAGAGTGAGTTTGGTTTGGTATCTTACCAGAAGCAGATTGCCTGCTCTTTCCCCCAAGGATAAAAGAACACAAGTGCTTAACCATTGCACCACCAGAGCTTCTGATAAAGCCCTGAGCACACATGGCAGTTATGTGAAAAATAGTAGAAAGAAAAAACATTCATTGAAATATGCTATGGACCAATTATGCTCTGCCCTGACTCAGCATCCATTTCAAGACAATTGCGACAAAAGAAAAAGGAAGAAAGAAAGAGGGTGGGAACAGGAAGAACAAGGATGAAACCCAAGCAAAGCACTTACATGGAGGACTGACTAGGATATTGTTGGCTTCATTTCTTGAGATAGGTTGGGTAAATATATATGCTGTGTTTCTTTACAAACAAAATCAAGTCAAACAAACAAAAATCCCTCCAGATTCCTTATCTCTCAAACTTAAATAGTATTTGAGTGTCTTTTGTAAAAAAGGAAGGAAGGAAGGAAAGAAGGAAGGAAGGAAGGAAGGAAGGAAGGAAGGAAGGAAGGAAGGAAGGTAAAGAAAGAAAGAGGAGGAAAAGGAAAATGGAAGCGGACTTGGAGTCTTTCTGACAAGTTCATCTCAAACAAAATAAGAAAACGAAGCCTCAGCTATTCCAAGAAGGACCAAAAGGGGGCGCTTGATCTCTGTCTGCTTTACACCACCTTGGGGTGGTGTGTAGACAGCTTGTAAAGGTGATGGGAAATCAAAGTTAGAGAGCCCCAGGGAACAGGAGAAACTCAGCTACACATTGGGGTCTGCTTGCTTTCTACTCAAAATATTTGTTTTAGAAATTCTTCTCTATAAAACTTCAAAAGTTCTGCCTTGGCCAAGGGAAGACACCTCACTTGAGGTGAGTGGACTGAGTCGAAGTAATGGCATAAACCACCATGATCGTGGGGATGCCCAGATCAGAATAACCGAGGAGGGCTGAGGAAGTCTTCAGTGGTTGTGGAAGAGCAGTTAGGCGTCCAGTAACCAGACAAGTTCCAGGAGACGCATTCTGTGCAAACAGTGCCCCCTGGAGTACAACACGAATGGTGCCGCCCTTATGTGATTCCATCCCTATAAGACAGAGAGAGAGCAGAACCTCATAGGGATTTCTAAGGCCCTGGGGGTGTAATGGTCACGCGTTGGGCTGCGATAGGCAGTTTGAAACCACCAGCAGCATCGCAGGAGAAAGACTGGGCTTCCTACTCCCACAGCACAGTTATGGTCTCCAAAACCCACAGGGGGTCACTATGAGCCAGCATGGACTCGATGGCTGCACATTTTTGTTTGTAAATCTTTGTGGAAGCAAACTGCCACATCTTTCTCTCGTGGTGCAAGTGGTAGGTTTGAACTGCCAATCTTTCAGTTAGCAGCTGAGTATGGCACCACCTGGGCTCCGTGGTACCCCTCCAGAGTAATGAAACGCCCAGACACCGAGTACAAAGCAACTCTCTTAGGTGCATTATCACATGGAAACCTCCCGATGACCCAAGGAGCTGAGGAACTGCGACTCCGAATCTCAAGCAACTGGCCCGGGTTACAAAGCAGAAAGCAAGAGTGCAAAGATTAGAAGCTCCACCCGCCCGAGAAGCCCTTGCTAACACACCCTGTGGTAAGCACAGAATATTTATTTTAAAACGTGGAGAGAGAGCAAACACATACTCAGCATCTACTTCCTTCTGTGTAAGAAACAATGCTTTTCCACAAGTTTCCTTATTAATGTAAGAGATGAGAGACTCCTGTGCTACGATCTGTGTAGCTTGGGTCATGAAGAAACCAAAACTCTCTAGAGCAGCGGTTCGCAACCTGTGGGTCATGACCCCTTTGGGGGTCAAACAACCCTTTCACAGGGGTCGCCCGATTCATAGCAGTAGCAAAATGACAGTGATGAAGTAGCAACGAAAATAATGTTATGGTTGGGGGTCATCACCACATGAGGAACTGTATGAAAGAGTCGCGGCCTTAGGAAGGTTAAGAACCACTGCTCTAGATAATGAGCCAAGGTTGGTGGAGAGGAGAGGACAGAAGAGGGCATGAGTGAGGGAGAGACGAGAAGGTTTCTGGAGATAAGTAAGCATGTAAGTGGAATGCAAACCAAGGACCATGGTGTGTGGGAGAGAGGGGGCTCCATAGAGAGGGTGCAGAGCCATCTGGGCTGGCTCACATGCTCCAAGCTGAAGAAGGAGGCCACCGGCCTTGCGTCACCAGAAGGGCTTTGTTAGGCCTGATAGGGCTCGATAATGGTCAAGATACCAAAGCAATTAAGAAGCAATATGGGAGGAGCTGAAGATCTGGAACTGTCAAGCATGATGTTTCCTTTGAAAGTATGTACAAAGTGAGCTCAGCACACATGATGGCTTAGAGTTATAGGGGGGACCACTTTCATTTGAAGGCATCTGTGGACTGCCCAGTGACCCTGCCTTGTCCAGACAGCCTTGTGTGAAGATGATGGCTAATGGAGGAAAATAGGAAGCTCCTCTCGATTAGAGAAGGTTCTGTCTGTGCTGTGCTCATCACTCTGCAAAGGGTTAGCCCCAAGCCTTGTAGCCTTCAGTTAGTTCAACAAGCATCTCCTGAATGTCAAGGTCATGCCTACACACCAAACTGAGGGTACACAGACAAGGACACAGCCATCTGAGACCTAGCCCATCCTCATATGCACCAGGGACATTTGGGAACTTGTTTTAGCTTCTCTGAGCCCACCTCCTATGCGCTTTCTCCTGCTGGGAACACATGGTGCTTTTCTTCCCCCCTCAGCTGAGCAGGCCTCCATTTAAATGTCAGTTTCCCAAAGAGAGAGGGTGTCCTGACTGCCTCACCCATTTAAATCTGATCCCATACCCTTATAAAATTCATAGGTTCTCGTATTTGTAGCATTTAAGGATATATTTTAAATTATGCATTTTATTTTAAGTTGATCTGGGAGAAGTAACTGCCCATTGGCTCCTCTACTGTACCATCAGCACCCATCCAGCCCAGTGGCCGACACAGAGTGTAGGCTCCATAGATGTTTCTCAAGCAAATAACGATAGTAAGGCGTGAATGACTCGGAGTGTGTGATTCTTTTAAAAGAGACTGTGGAGAGGGTAACGTTCAGCCCAAACCACTCTTTAAAAGTGCCACTTCGGGAGCCAAATAGGGCAGGTAATTTGGTGCTGGCTGCTTTGCCCAATTCCCCTTGGGTTATGCAAAACCAAGCAAGTATCCCCTGTTCTTGTATTCTAGCCTCTCCAAAGGCTTATTGACTTAGCATTCAACGTGAAAATCAAGCCACTTGCCTTGGCCTGCCACCGTCCAGGAGGCAGTCTTCAAATCTTCATGGATTAGAGAAATGTGTGGTGGCCAATTAGAGCTCTGGGTTTGGTAAGTCAGCTGCTGGTCTTGCAATGTGCCAAGTTGTTGTTGGCAGGACTCAGGATTGGGGTGAAGAACCCTAATAAAACACAATAGTCATGGTTACTATATTCAAAGGGAACTGAGGTCTGGGGAGAGGGAACTGGTTCCCACAGAATTCAGGGTGGAGTTTTACCAATCTGTACCATGCTCGGGCGGTGGGCCTACTTTTAAGAAAGAGGAGAAGGTCATTTTTTTCAGCTCTAACTCCATGTCTTAGTTTCCTAGGCTTCTATTACAGAAATACTACACCTTTATTCCTTACAGCTAGGGAGGTAGTCCTAAGTCAGGGTGCCGACATAGGGGAAGCCTCTCATCTGTGTTAGCTGTGGAGAAAGGGCCTTGTTTCTTTCCTCTTCGGTTCCTGGGCCCCTTAGCAATCTTCATGTGGCTTGGCATTGACGTTTCTCCCACATGCTTTGTGATCTCTGCCTACTCTGCTCTCATTATAGTTGAAAAGTGAATCGTTTAAAACATATCATACACTGATATATCTAATTAACATCATAAAACTCTGTTTACAAATGGGGCTTCATCCACAGGCATAGGAGTTAGGATTGGCCACATATTTTGGGTGGTGGTGGTGGTGGTATACGGTTCGGGGACAGACACAATTCAGTGCTCCAGTTCTCTACGATGAATCAGGCCAGAAACTTCCCAAGGGTCATTATCCGAAGGGTGAGATTGTTTCAGATGACAATTAAATTAGCACAATTGTGTTAATCTGGGTACATTAGAGAAACAAATCCATAGATATTCATATGTATGAGAGAGTTTTATATAAAGGGTAAGTGCACATCCAGAAAACATCCCAACCCAGTGCTGCCCAAGCCCACAAGTCCAACATTAACCCATTAACCTATAGGTCCAACACCAATCCACAAAGTCCTCCTCCATCTCACAAAACAGACGCAACGAAGCTGACTGCAGGAGGAAAGCAAATCAGTGAACTTGTCAGCATCTCAGTGCTGGCAGGGGTCTCCACGCAGTGCTCCAGCACCCAGGGCTGCATCGGGGTAGGTCCATGTGGCTTCTCCTTGGGGATGTCTTGCAGGAAGTCAGCCTTGCTAGCTGAAGCAGGGAACTGGCTAAGGCAGCTTGCACCCTGGTCCGACCATCAGAAAGCAAGAGACCAGAGAACTAGAAAGGCGAGGCTCACCAAGCCATTTATCTCTCTGCCCTTCAATTAACCCCACATGTGTTTCTCAGCCAGGTTGGCACAATAAACTTTGACTAACTCAACAATGATTCAAAGGCTTTTCTAGTCTTGTGGCTTTTTAATTTTCATAATCATTTTTTTAAAGTCAATTACAAGGAAAATGTCATTGAACTTGTCTATATGTATAATTTAATATTAGGACCAATATATGCCAGTGGCCATTGAGTCAATACCAATTTACGGAGACTTCCTATGTGTCAGAGTAGAACATGGTCCTTAGAGTTTCCCTTTTTTTAGAAGAAAATTCTTACTGTGAGTTGGGTGAAGCTTTATAGGGAAGATCAATTTTCCATTCAATACTTCACACACATTTTGTTTCAGATCATAGATTGCAATCCCTGCAAGAGCGTTTATCCTGCTGCCTCCCTGTGTGTCTGTCCTGTTTCCATTCCTCCTTCTTTCCTAACCCTTCTGAACCTGGTAAGTGAGCTCTTGATCTCAAATGGTTGATCCTTCTAAGATGTGTATATCTCCCGTGTGTTATTGTTCCCCCTCGGCCAATCCGTTGTTTGAAAATTGAGCCATCAATAAAATGATTTAAAAATACATTTTTAAAAAATTGAGTGATCAGAGTAAGTTCCATTGCAGACCTGAACGGTGACTAAGGCACATAATCTCGGGGATCTGAGGTCCGGAGGCTTTCCTGCGGATGATTTTTCAGAAGTGCTTTGCCAAGCCTTTTCGCCTAGCTGCCTCTGAATGGACTGGAAGTACCAACTTTCAGTTAGTGGTAGTCTCAAAAGATGGCATGTGACCAGAAACCGTGTCTAATAAAAACATAGTACATAGGCATTAAGAATAGATATTTAAAGGAATCATTTAGTGAGTTCTGTAAAGACCAATTCCTACAAACTAAGTACCCACCTTCTTAATTGCTAATCCTCTTCAAGTATGTGCGTTTCACGGAGAGTTGTCTTAAAAACTAGACACATCTGTAAAGACACTATGCTCAAATCCCATCTATTGAAGCACCCACCTCAGTTGGTACTGCAGTTTAATGGAAGAATTTTAACATTTACAAAAAGTTGTATTTCTCATGTGTACAGGAATCCTGTTATTAGTCTGACCCTTCTGGGTCTCTGTGGTTTGGGCTGGTATGACATCAACTCAGTCTTTCCAGCCCAGAAACTAATGAATTCCACGTGGACCGCATGCCCTCAATGTACTCTGCTTGGTTGTCTACAAAAAGAAAGTACGTTTTGCCCTTCAAACGCTCTAGGTATAAAATTCCAAACCTTGACAATGATAAAGTATGAGAATACTCCTCGAGTATAAGGAGCTCAGGACGATGACATCATTAGGATTTGTGTCACCCAGAGCAGTCGCTCAGGGAGTCAACCCTCCCCCACACCAGACCTTAGAGAATTCTTAGTAAGGCTTCTTATAAATGTTAATCCTAGAATCCAAACCAACAAACCTCAATGCCGCTAAGCTAAGTCAAGTCTGACTCATAGCGACCATTCAGGGCTGAGTAGAACTTCCCTTTGGACTTTCTAAAGCTGTCAATGTTACAACCTCATCATTCTCCTGCACAGGGGCTGGGGGCTCCAAGTAACCCTGAGCCCCTTAATCATAGGATAGCGTAGGACAAATATAGTTGGAAATTGCATCGGTGTAATAGTTTCTGAGATTATATGAACACTAATGACACTTTTTTGGTAAACATTTTCTACACTGTATTGCAACATCATTAGTTGTTACATGATTAGTAATTGAGTACTCCCTCATCTCAGGTCAGCGAGTCAATGCTGACTCATAGCGACCCCTGTGGTTTCCGAGACTGTTAATGGTAGTAGAAAGCCCAGTCTTTCTCCCGGAGCTACCGGTGGTTTTGAACTGCTGATCATATGGCTCCCAGCCCAACGCTTAACCACTACACCACCAGGGATCCGTAGCAACTGAGTAGAAGCCGGTTTGGGGGGAGGGGAGGTTTCCCTCCTGTTTCTCTATTAGTACTTCATTCTCAAAAAATTGTATCGCAGCTAAAACACCAGTTTGGCAAACACCAATTTGGTAAAACCAGTGACCACAGAAACTCTGACAACAATGGCAACAATCGTGCATGCTTATAGAACATGCAGACCAAACCACGTGCCTCTAAGTGTGGTTGTAACTGGGTAATTATGACACTTTAGACTTGTGCAAATTAAAAGGGTCAAAAAGTAAACTGGCAAAAAGTGTTAGCCTTTCAAGTGTTTTGATACATGTAAGCTGGACTCACAAAACATGTCTTTTCTTATATCTAACTACAGGGATAGGGTTATAAAAGACAATACATTTCTGCTGAAACGCTGCAAAAAACAAGCAAACAAACAAACTTTGTTTAAGATAACCATTTATGTGTCACCCTCCCTGACAATGTCACCTAGTGTGGTCTGCACCACTACCACCCACCTCCCACAACCTCCCCCCACTCCCACTCCCAACACATGCAGGTCCCTAGTGGCACCACTGATGCGGGATGGTGGACTCAGGGACTTGTGTACAATGCCATACCCACAGGCAATGGGAGCCAGTATGGTCGAATCTGAGGCAATACACAACCACAGGCACAGAGCACCGCGGTGGGAAATTCGGATGAGTCCATATTCTAGCTTTGCTTTAAGTCTCCCTGTAGCAGTTACATGATCTCCTGTCAACTTGTGAAGGGGTGACAGGAGTCTAGCCTGTCAATCTGGCCATAGCCAAGGAGGCCTCTGTGTGGGCAGTGCCTTCTCCTGAGGATTCTGGGAATTCCTGTATTCCTCCCTGGAGGTGGGAGACTCTCTCTGCTTTGTCTTCCTGCTGACAAGACACATGGAGCTACCCTGATGCAGCCAAAGCCCTGGAGCTGGAAGGGCCAGGTGGAGACCTCTGTCAGTGCTCAGATGCTTCTCCCACCAGTGGATCCACAAGATCCACTGGCATGTGATCTTCTGGCAGTCAGCTTCATTGCATGGCTGTGTGAGTCTAAAGAGGAATTTATTGACTGGTATTGAAATATGGGGGTAATATCAGACCTATGGACTTGATCTGGACTGGGTTGGGATGTTTTCTTCATGTACAATTATTATTTGATATACAGTTCTCTCTTACACACATATGAGTGCCTCTGGATTTGTTTCTCTAGTCATCCCAGACTCACACACTCCCAGTCACAGCTCATCAAGTGGCCTACAATTTCAGGTTTTCAGACCAATGTTCAGTGGGATTTGAATCTGTTGTCACTTATTAGCTCTGACATTGGGCACTACTTCGTGTTTCAGTGTATCAACATCTTCATCTGAAAAAATGGGAACATTTGTAGTGCTCTCAAATGGGTACGAAGAGCTTTGCACAACAATCGGGCATAGAAAGGGTTCAGTAATACTGCCTCCAGCGTGGGTTTCCCTTTCACATGGCAACCATTAATGGATGAAAGGATCCAATCGTGCCATTATCTTTGATGCCTTCATTCTGGGCTCCTATATGCCAGTGTCTGGGCTGGAAAAGCCATCATCCTTCTGGGAAAGGTGATAAGAAGGGCAAGGCTCTGGGATAAACCATAGGGACCTGAATTAATTGAGAGCCCAAATTCCTGCTGATTCTACTGCTTCGCCCTGGGGAGATTCTGAGGGTCAATCATTACCAGCTTTGGCTTGGGTCCTGCCGAACCATCAGGGCTACATTAATGAGGCTGCACGTCAGCCGCCCTCCTGTGTCCAAGCGCTTTCTGGGAAAGCCCCGGAGGCAGGGATGTGGAGCCAGCAGCCTCTCTGACCCTGTTGTTCCATGCCACAGAGCTGGGCTCATGTTTGGGTCTTCTTTGGGGGCTCTTCTTGATGGCAGTTAGCAACCACCTC